TCTTTTCCAATCTTAATGATTCTGTGATTCTGTGAAGCTAACAGACTACCTTTTCTCCGTTTCAGCCAACTTTTTTGCCACTGCTATGCAAGCGGTAAGTGCCTCTTCCTGCAGTTACAATTCACTTGAGCCCTCCAGTTGTTTCAGAATCACCTCTTAAGTTTTCCAACCTCGCATGCACTGTTTAGCTCTCAATATCTTTTCCTTTTTCATCACCTCCTGTAACTTTCCTCCATAATTCTGTAGTTCTTCCCTTGATACCTTCTATATTGGTAACTGCATGCCTGTGAAATGTGCATCCCTTGCTAGAGATGGCTGCCTAAGTCTCTGTCTGCTGTGCCCTACCTCCTGCTTCCAGTGACACTGCGGTGGCCAGACAGTCTCTGTGCCAGAAGGTGTCAGTTGAGGTTAGAAAACTCCTGCCCTCTGGAAGAGTTGCACATTTATCTCAACTAATCAGAGCACGGAGGCAGTCACTGCACTGAATCGTGTTTAAAAAAGTTGCTATCAGTTCATTGCTTTTACTTTCTACACCTTTGTGAAAGTGAGTCTTGGAGGTATGCGTTAAGTGTTATATTTGGGAGCTTTAAAATCTGACTGGTTTATTGCAGTGCTGTGATCTTAAGGATATCAAGCTTGCCTATCAGTTAAATAAGGCAATGGAGAAGGGTGACAACTGGAAATTCTTGGACATGGATCGTCTGAATGCCTACTGGTGAGAGAAATGCAGCTTTCATTCGCATTTTGGGTGGTGGTGTCAATTTGAACACAAACTAGGATTTGAGCATTGTCTGGAAGGATGTGTGATCAGATACCAGCTGGTTATTGTATGTGCAGTTTGGGAATTAGATCCCTCTTAAGAACAGTGATAGCTTAGGATTTATTTTCAGTTTGTGGCCTTGTCTGAACTGAAATAAAATGTGTTGGAGCATCAGTTCAGCTAAATGCCCATCCAACAACTGTACCAACCAGCTGTATTTTCTATAATCCTGTTTTCCACTTAGGAAGTAATGTTGAAATAGAGTGCAGGTCAGACCTAGGTCCTTGCAGAGAGACACTGCAGGGTGGCAGGTGTATTAAGGCACTTAACTCCCGTGTCGTTCCACCATTTGACACTAATGATGACACCCAGAACATCTTTATCGAGGTCATTAAGTACTGCAGTCACCAGATTAATTAAGTACTCAGAGCACACTGGTTTGAAGAAAGGCCAACTTAGGCATTGGAGCTAGAGATGCTCCAGAAAATTAATGAAAAAGCTTTATCATCAAAATAAGATGCAGTTTCAGGAGTGGATCCATATGATTTTTACCTTATTCAGCTTGAAAATGAATTAAGGAGATTTAATAGAAATTAATTTCTTGGTGGATGGACGTTTTTCCTAGTCAGTGCTTTGGATCAAGGTCACAGGCTTGTATTGTGAACTAGCACAGCGTTCATTTGCTTCACCCTCTGAAGTGATTCTTAACCAGAGGTTGATTTGAAACAGATTCAGATACCTCAAACTTTGTGTCAGGAAGGGAGATTGCATTTTTTTTGAGATTTCAAAATGCAGGGTTCTAACTTTTAACTAATTCTGCCGATTCCCTTGTGTCAGCATTAAGTTCTCGTGCTTTTTTAATGCTATGAAGTATTGCAGTCACACAGTGAAATTTCCTTGATCTGCAATACCAATCTGATCAGGACACCATCATTTGCCGGTGCTTCTGTATAGTTTGGCTGATCTAGTCATTACTGAATTAGGGCTTTTTTCCCCTCCTCTAGGTCAAAATTCTTTTCATTGTTGTGTATGATGGAACAAATCGATGTTGTGTTGAAGTGGTACAAAGAAATGTCCCCTTCGGTAAGTGTGGGTTAGGGTAAGCAAGCTTCAAAGGTTTAGTGTGGAGAAATGGAACAGTTACGGTTTACTGAAGTGATTCTGTTCCTCCATCAGGTCTTTTATCCAACTCCTAAAAATATATTGGACCTCCTTCAAGCGCTGGATGCAGCCAACCACTTGGAAGTGATCCCTTCAGTCTGGGAAGGTTCGTGAGAGCCACGTGGCTGCGTAGGCAGCTTCGCTGATAGAAGTCAGGAGCGGTGCGAAGTGGGAGGTGGTTGGGAAACTTCCCCAGTGCTCAAAATAGCCACAGTATGGTGCTTTGGCATGAGGGACGGGATTCCTTAGTGCAGCGGTGGGGCTGTTGTGTTAGAGAAAGGCAGAACCAATAACGCAGTTTATCGGAGACATCGTGGCTGTGTCATCGTTAAATGTCAGCCTCTTAGAAAACTCAGTGTTTACCAGAGACTAGTACCTTAAACAGTGCCCAGGTTTAACTCACTTCAACTTTTTGCCTGTTCTTTGCCCCTGTAGAAGAGGAGACAGGAACACAAATGCAGGCTTTAGCACGCAGAAAACATCCCACTGTCAGCCCATGCTGAAGGGACAGAGAGCATTCTTGACAGAATGATGACAGCACTGATTTGTGGTTACGATTAAATCTTTTATTTTCTTAACAGGAGTTTATGATTTGCATAGCACAGAATTTATAATCGGAGTAGCACAGGATTTCTACAAACAGAATCAGCGCAGACGTATGTGCAGTATGGGGTTTTGTAGCACCTCTCAGCTTATGGTTTCTAATCTCCTGCAACCTCTGCAGACTGGGTCAGATCTTAATACTTGGTTTGCTGTATCAACATAAAAATCATTATGTAGCCTCGAGAAAGAATATGAGTCACCACTCAGTCCTCGGAGGAAGCAGATGATGGCGGAGGTGTCCCAGGCCTCTGGGGGGGTCATGAGTCTCGCCGTCTGGCAGCAGCTCAGGTCCAAATCTCCACTTAGGACTTGGAACTGCTTGAGTTTCTAGACAGAGCTCTGCACGCTGCTGCCTGCGCTGTCGCAGAGAATGACTGTTTGCCTTATAAAACAGCATTAGTTCTGCAGGAGGTACCCGTTACACGTGCCTTTTTCCATACAGATATGAAGCAGTTGGGGTTTCAGAAGAGACAGGACTTGTTGGAAGAGCTCTTGTCTTTGATGAGCAGGGAGCAGCACCCTGCGGAGGTGAGGAAGCTGTCGTGGTTAACCCCCATTGTTGAGCAGCTCAGCACCACAGAGCTGCTTGCTCACTCCTCCCCAGCACGGTGGCGGAGGGAATTGGAATGGTATAAGTGCAAAAGCTCAGAGGTTGAGAAAAAGATGGTTTAATAGGTAAAGCAAAAGCCGTGTGCACAAACAAAACACAATCAGGAATTCATTTTCCACCTCCCCTGGGCAGGCAGGCGTTCAGCCATCTCCAGGAGAGCAGGGCTCCTTCACACATAACGGTTACATGGGCAGATGGACACTGTCACTCCCAGCATCCCCTCCTTCCTTCTTTCTCCAGCTCTAATTGCTGAGCCTGATGCCTTGTGCTCTGGGGTGTCTGGGCAGCTGCCCCAGCTGTGTCCCCTCCCAGCATCTTGTGCCCCGCAGCCTCCTCTCTGGAGGAGCTGTGTGAGGAGCAGATTCTGCGTAAGTCCCACTCAGCGGTAACTAAAATCCAAAACATGGCACCATACCAGCTCCTGTGAAGGAATTTACTTGTATCCCAGCCAAAACCAGTACAGAAGCTCAGTGAAAACAGTGGGGGTACCTTCCCAATTGTGTGTGCAGCCTACAGCCTGTATGTAAGTGCTGTGTTACTGCCCCTGGTTGGTTTTAGGCACTGGTTTGGGTGCATATGCCAGGACAAACGTCCCAATCTATGTGAGTTTATCCAAACCTGCCAAGCCCTTCGGCTTTTCTTCAACCCATAGAGAAATCTCAAATTAACACAGAAAAGGATCGCTTCGTGACCAGGATTTGGGACAGTAATCCAGCCCAGCTGGCCACGTCTCTAGGGGAGCACATGGCAGAATTCAGGGATTTTTGCCACAAATGTCGTTGCAGTAACTGACTTCTCAAGCTGAGAGTTCAAGGCTCGCGTGTACTGCAGCAGTCTCGAGTACACCTGTCCCTGCAAAGCCATCTTGGAGCTTGCCTGGTGGGGACAGTTGTCCTGACAGAAGCGAGAGCTTTTTCTGCTGGGAGTAACCACTGTTAATTCACAATTTTAAATCACATACGGGACAGACCTGTAGGAGGAACTGCACTGAAAAGAACAGGTTAGTTCTAGAGGCTTGGGGATTAACAGAACAATCTTTTTGCAGATTCAAGTGGCGTTTGCCAAGTGTGCTGAAGATATCAAAGCTGTCCATGAGCAGAGCGGGAGGGAGCAGGCCCCGTTGGAATGGACAGGCAGCGCGCTGGGCCACGTCGTGCTCTTGTTTTCCAGGGCTGGGAGAACCCAGGATGCTTGGTACGTGTGGGACGGTCGGGGGCTCTTGGTTTACTGATGCCCTAACTCGAGGCGTAATCACAAAAATCGAAAGCTGACGACTGATCACCTTGGAACGCCAGCGCAGACAAAGGGAGGGGGTAAATCCTGCCAGGAATGTGATGAGGTTTTTTCTTATTTTTATTGTTCAGTCTTATCTGAAAAATGGTTTAGAGGTTAATGTAACAACTGACTTAGGGCATCGTGCGGCTGCTTCCAGCAAGGTAGGGTTTGATTATCACTTCAGTAAGCGCTGCTGATTTCCTACAGCTTCCCATTTTCTAGTTTTTAGAACTCTTTGGAATTCAAACTGCTAAAATAGATATGTTATAGTTTAATTAAACTTTTAATTAGAATTAACCCTGATTAAAGCTCTAAAGAGAATATTTTTAGAACTCTCCAGTAGCTGGAAGTTACTGTCCTACATGCTCTCAACTTGAAATACCTCCAGTTTAAGGTTCTGAGCTATTTTCTCTGAAGTGCAGTTGTTCTCTTTGCACTGATTTCTATGAAACAAAGAAGTGGCAGGTACTCTTCTAAAAATACGTAATATTTAAAAGTAAACTTGCCACCAGTGGCACTTTCCATTTTTTCTTCACTAGTCAAGATATTTGTGTTAAACTAATCAATGATGTTACTGGCACACGTTGCATCTGTGAGAAGACAGCATGGGGTCTCTTCCAGGTCTGTGGGGAAGATCATTTCATGAAATAGAGCTTGTCTGTGTTTCAGTGGGGGCTTATCCAAGAGATTTAATATCTCTCTGTTCCTGTGTTTTGGGTTGCGTTTTTTTTAATTATTTTGTTTTCTTTTGAACAGGAACATGATGCAGCGCTTCCAACAAATCAATAGAATTCCCCCGTGAGTACTTTTAGGTTCTGACTTTGGGTACTGAATCTCTCCTGTGGCTGAGATCTTGCATTTCTGTTACGGATTCGTAGAATAGTTTGGATTGGGAGGGACCTGTAAAGATCATCTAGTCCAACCCCCAGTTAGAACTGACACCAGTGTCCAGATCTTACTGTTCCTTCTGAAGTGTGAGTGTGTGTGTGTCTGTCCTCCGTGAGCACAGGTGTTTTTTTATCCAACTGATACGTTCCAAGACCATTCAGTCTCAAACAATGTTGAAAATGCAAAGGCGAGGGTGGGTTTAAGTGGTTGATCCTTGAGATGTCATGGAATGAACAGTGCCGCCCCCTGAACTTGGCAAGCAGGAATCAGTCTCAAGAACATCGTTCACAGTGTGCTCAGAAAAACTCCGGTGTGCTACTAACCAAGCGTAGGTGCTTAGAAGTTTCTGGATTTCTGAAGACAAGTTTATGAAATCAAACCCTAAGTGTTCTGTGGTACCATGGTAGCTACAACAGTTAGCTTTGCTCAGAATTTTCTTTGGAAAAATTCTCTTTGAAGTAGAAAACAACTTCTAAGGAATAGTAATCCACTTTGTTGGCTTTTTTATTTTTAATAAAATTTTAAATGCTTGGAGTTCACGTTAAGTGAACATGGTGACGGCCCAGGGAAGCCTCGACGTCGCTGGGCAGCATCAGAACCTGCCTTCATTTGGGAGACAGGGAGAGGAGACAGACTTTCCTGAAATCATGGTGTAGCTGACAGTTTGGGGCTAACACGGGTCACGAATGTAAAAAGAAAGTTGTTTCCCTGCTGTTACCAAATGGATCAGAGGCTCTTCGGCTGAACTGTCCCCTGCCTTCCCTCCTCTGAGATGACAGAGGATCAGAGCCAGCGCTTCAACACGAAACGGAGCTGGCAGAGCAGAGCAGAGCAGAGCCAGCTCTCGGTGGCTCCCGGTGCACGGCAGCCTCTGGCAGCGAGACGCCCACCTTGGGTTTGCAGTGCTGGGGCACGGAGCCGTTACCTCTGCCAGCCCCCCAAGAGAGGGTTGGGGCTTGATGTGGGGACTGTAAAGAGAGGAAGGTTATTCAGGCTGCTGCTCGTGGTGGTGTCCTTACCCTGAGCAGTGAGCTCCTGCCCTCTGGTTTTGGGCAAGGAGGAGTACTGCTTTCTACTGGGATAGGAGTTCCCAAGGGCACCACATTGGTAACGGGGTGAAGGGTGAGGTGAAATTCTTAATGGCTTCGACCTGAGTGTAACTGGGCTGGTTGAGTGATACGAAAACGTCATTTTTTTTCCTTCCCTGCCTAAAGCAGGTGCTGTAAGCTAATGGCCACCTCACCCCAGGGCCCCCTCAAAAGTCGCTCTTTGCCTTTGCTTTTGCAGTGACCAGGTGATGAACGAGTTCTTGAACTCTGCTAAACAATCTAATTGCCCAGATGAGGCAATTAAGCTGGTAAAGCTGGCAGCGTCCTTCGGTCTTCCTTCCTTTCAAGAGCTTAAAAGCAGAACAGAGAAGGAATTTGAACTCTCTGAAAAGCAGAAGTAAGTTGGAATAGTTTGTGTCACTGATGAAGAGGTTTAGTAGATGGGGGGTTGGAGGGTGATTCCTCCATAAAGGCTTCTCTCTGCCAAGGTGGCAGAGAACGGCTACAGAATGATCTGCTGTTCTGTTGATTCTGGTCGATTGACACCCCCAAACTGTGCCCTCAGCTTTTGATTCCATCCGGTATCCATCCCACCTGGGCAGGAAGGTAACTTTCCCTGATGAGGGGAGGTTAGCCTTACCCACTGCTCTGATCTGCTATCCTCTTGCTTTCCCAGGATGTTTTCCTAGCTGGGTCTGGCCACCTAAAAGACACTGGTTTTGAGGCTGGTAAAGGCAGGGGAGGGGTACAGGATGGCCCTATATGTGGCTTACGGGTCCTGAGGCTCCTCAGCACACCTGGCCAGCCACCAGCTGATGCAGCCAAGCTCAGATCATGGGCTTAACCTTGAGGGACCAGAGTTTGGAGCCAGCAAACTTGTCCAAGGCAATGAATGAAGTTGCAGCACGGCTGACAGCTGGCCCACTGCTCTCTGGGTCACTGTAGTCTGCTTTTCCAAAGGATAGCAGGGTGGTCCTGGCCTTTGAGGATAACTGCCATAATGTTCTCTTTAGAGATCTCTTCACAAGCACAAGTCACAACCAGGTGACTGATCACTGAACCTTTTTACATCTGCAGGAAGACACTGGAGAGTATCAAGTCAGACAGCGACAGCAGTGACAGTAGCGACAGTGACAGTGACCATGAGTAGCTGTCCCTCTTGCCTTCCCCCTGGGAAAACTGGGAGCAACCACTGCCCTCACGCCAGGAGGCTTCTGTGAGAAGTGAGATGACTGGAGGGACGGCTTCTGGGCGGTGCTGCAGCACTAAGTGCTCCAGCGCATCCCCGCGGGGGACCTGCTTGGCAAGAGTACGCTGTCCTCGCTGGAGCAAGCTAGAAGCTGCCCTGTTTAATCTTCGTGGTAACTTCAAACGCAGCGTGGGCTACACCAGCAGGGCCTGTTCCACACCACTGCCTGCATGAGCGGGATCCCGCTGGGCAGCTGCAGCCTGAGCAGCAGTGAGAGCCAAGCGCTGCTTCCTGGGGGCTGCTCAGCCACGTACAAGATCTTGACAGCTTCAGCAATACTTTTGTTGGACTTTCTTCAACAGCAACGTGCACTGGATTTAATTCCTTTCCAGCTAACTTGAATGAACTACGTAAATATCAAGTTTGCTCTGTATGTAAACACTGCAAGTAATGCAGTACTCATCAGCCCTCGTGTTAGTCCTCATCATTTTTGGTCTTTTGGGACAGGCTTTGGACTGTGGATGTTAAAATGCTACACTCTGTACCGCTGGAGACTGTGCCTAATAAATGGCTGACACGAAATGCAGCTGTATTCCAGTAATCCTTGAGCCAAAACTGCCGATTGCAAAGTCACGGCAGTAAAGGTAATGAGGTGACTGGGTGGCTGTGCCGTTCTGGTCTCTGCGTGGCTGTTAACTGGCCCTCAGGGCAGGGTGCTGCTGAAGAGTTTGGGGGTTTTGTGGTGGTTCTCTTGAGCAGGCAAAGAATGGTCTTGTTCCTGAGAGGATTAAACCATATTCCAGTGAAAAAAGTAGTTAATGGATTACTTTCTTTGTGAGAAGCAAAATCTTACTGTGCAGGACACTGCAGGCCAGGTGAGAGCAGACTGATGTGGAAAGCAGCTTCAGGATAATTCAGCAGAGCTGAGGAAGCAACAGCTGCCAGAGGCAGAACTAGAGCTGAGAGGCTCGAAGCAAAGTGTTCCTCACACACAAGGGCAGGAGCAGAGGGGCACTACAGCTGTTGGCAGGCAGTTTATGCCAGAAAGCAAACAGGTCCAGTCCAGGAGCAAGTCACTGGTGCGTACAGGCTGAGGGGTAAGAGCAAAGAGAACGGCTGTCGGGGGGGGTGACCTGCTCTGCTTTCTCTTACCCACAATTTAGAATAGGAGCAGCAAGAAGTTGCTCATTTCACAAAGTGGGTACTGATTAAGTTGGATGAGTCTGTCTTCACTGAGGCTAAGAATTAAGGGAACGGTAAGAAGAGGAACGTGGTCTTTCTGAGTTCTCATGGTTGAGCCAAAGTCTACCTTCTAGTTCGAAACACTTTCTAGACTTCTGCAGAGGATCATGTCTGACAAGAAGAAACATGCAGGGGCAGAAGTCCCCTAGAGCATAAACTATGTCTACTTAAACCTGTACACATACATGGATTATTATTTTTTTTACAGCTGTACAAATTATTGAATAGACACGCTCATGAATGAATTCTTGCTCCTTTAAAGGGGTAAAATAAGGTTTTTACTTCCTCAAGTCATGGAGAAAAGCTGTTCTTGTACTGCCCAGCTGTATTTGATGATGAAACAGGAAACGAAACAGCAGGAGAAGGTGGTTGATGTCTTGTTTTATTCAGCTGACAAAGTGGCAAATCATTAATGGTAGGTTACAGACATTTCGGTTGGATCACAAGCCCGCTTGGTAAGATGGGGAAACAAAACTGTTACACAAACTGTAGAGAAGTTTCCTGAAGTTGGTTGCCATTGTAACTCAAACCCAAATACAAATACGAATACAACAGGTGAAGTTAAATACAGTGCAAGGAAACAAGACGGTACCCGTGCTTTGATTTAACACTTCCAGCCCCTGCCAGCAGCTTGTTTTGTAACCCCTTAGACCTGGGATTTCTTTCCAGCACAAACAATTGCTGAACCACTTCCGAAATGACGTTCCTGCCTCACTGCACTTGAGTTGTTCCTAACCCCACCGCGCTGGCATACGCCGTCAAGATATCCACGATTTGTTTTGTTTCTAGGGTCATCCGAGCCTCGGTCAGCCAGTCGTGCGCCACTCGCCTTGACTCTCCCCGTAACTGGTTGACAAATTTAGCCGCCAGCTCCAGATCTCCGTGTTCGATGCAGTACGAAGCGTAAGACAGTAATTTAAACGTGTCGAGGTCGTCGGGGCTGAGCTCGGTGGGCGGCTTCAGCTGTTGAGGGTGAAACACAAGCAGCGACTGCAGGTAAGACAAGAAGTATTGATACAAGCTGTTTCTCGTTTCGTCGATCATAGCCACTCTCTTTGCCAGTTTTTGGACCGTGTAGAAACGGGCTCGGAGGGCCTCTTCGCTGTACACCCCCCGTGTCAGGGACTCCTGCGGGAGAGCTGCTGTTAAGGCTTCTGTAAACGCGTTGTCAGAGCAACTGGCTTTGATGGCCTTCACTGCGCTCTCCAGCGGTTCTGTGGGACTATCCCCGGAGGCCGTTTTCATGCAATATTTGAGCGCTTCAACAGAAAGCCAGAGCTGATGGGCCTTTCTGGCTTCCTCTTCTGCTACTGCGTGACCTGCAAAAGAAGCCAAGAAGGGGACTCTCAGTTGGTGGCAGATGTATCGGAAGA